GAGAACGGCTTCACCCCCAAGTGTGAAATCACAGGCAAAGATGCCCTCTCGGCGCTGGCCCGGGCCAGCAGCAAGCAGTGCCAACAGGAGATCGCCAACGTGGTGTGTCTGCACCGGGCCGGCAGCCTCATGCCCCAGTCCGTGCCTCGCCACTGCCAGCTCTCGGGTGAGTCCTGATGCAGGGCTACAGCTCGCCCTGGGCTTCGGGGGTGTCCCAGCCAGGCGCGTGGGCCACCTTCCTTATGTCTCCAAACTGTCCCGTCTGGCAAAGAGAGGCCTCAGTCTGTCACAGATTCCCAGATTACCGTTGCCTCCATAATCCAATCAAAGCTGTGCCAGCCTCCTTAAGCTGGGCTGCGCATCCTGACCTGCAGAGGTCAGAGCTGGGCACAGCCACATCTTTTGTTTTGAGGGGGCAGAGAAGGACACCAAACCCCACCCCTCTTTCCCAACACAGCCCTGGGGATTTAACAGAGGGGCTGCATTTGCCACTATGCCCTGGCACTGCAGCCTGATGGGTTTACCTGAGGCTGAGCTGTTGCCTCCTGTCCCCCACCTCGCTCAGGTCTCCCCGTTGTATCAGGAGCCTTGGGGTGCTGGGGGCCGAGGCCGGGGGTGGCTGACAGCCCCCTCCCTCCCCACACAGGCAAGGTCAGCCCCGTCATCCAGTGGGATGAGAGCCGGCCGCAGCAGGTGCCCCCCAGCAAGCCCGTGCGCATCGCCTACATGCTGGTCGTGCACGGCAGGGCCATTCGCCAGCTGAAGCGGCTCATCAAGGCCGTGTACCACCAGCAGCACTTCTTCTACATCCACGTCGACAAGGTGCGTGCGTGACAGGGGAGAGGGGTGCTGGGAGCGGCTGGGTCGGTTTGTCCCCGCTGCTGCTGGAGCTGTGACCCTCCCACCCCGGGGAACCAGGATCTATGCCGCCTGCCCAGAGCAGTCTGGTTTTGCTGCTCCCCTACCCATGGAGGCTGGTGGTGAGGAGGGCAGGGCCCCCCGGGCAGATGAGCTGCCCGCTGAGCGTGAGCCCTGTTCCCCGGCAGCGCTCCAACTACCTCCATCGCGAGGCGGTGGAGCTGGCCCGGCACTACCCCAACATCCGCGTGACGCCCTGGCGCATGGTGACCATCTGGGGAGGTGCCAGCCTGCTGAAGATGTACCTGCGCAGCATGAAGGACCTGCTGGAACTGGACGAGTGGCCCTGGGACTTCTTCATCAACCTGAGTGCCACCGACTACCCAACAAGGTGTGGACCTTGCCAGGGCAGGAGAGGACGATGGAGGTGGTTGGGCTATGGGATGCTGCAGCAGCCTTGGGAGGGGCGGGGAGGAGCTGGGAGGAGAGGGAGATGGAGCTGGAGATTGCACCCACGTCCTGGTGCTCCAGGGCCAGGCTGGTCCCTTCTTTGCTTGAGCAGCCCAGCCAGTACCTCGGAGGCTGTTTTTTCCTGTGGTTTGGGTGTCACAGGGGAACGTGCATTTGAGTCACCAGAGAGCAGAGAGGCTGCATCTGTGTCTCACCTGAGGGTTTGATCAGCACCCACCAAGCAGCCTTATGCTCTTCCTGTCTGATGGGTCTTGCACTGAGTGTTTCCAGGGCTGCTTCACCCCAGGGGACTATTAACGCTTTCTGATTTGCACCAGGACCAACGAGGAGCTGGTGATGTTCCTGTCCAAATACCGAGATAAGAACTTCCTGAAGTCTCATGGCCGAGACAACGCCAGGTAATCCCAGCTCAGGGCAGAGCTGAGCTGGAGGAACAGAAAAAGGAGGGATTTCAGAAAAGTACTGAAACAGTTGGGGCAGGAGGGATATTCTAGCTGTGCCCAGCAAAGTGGGTGACACTTCTAACCCCTCATCCTCACCCCTGTGCCCAGGTTTATCAAGAAGCAGGGCCTGGACCGCCTGTTCCACGAGTGTGACTCCCACATGTGGCGGCTGGGCGAGCGCCACATCCCCGAGGGCATCGTGGTGGACGGGGGCTCCGACTGGTTCTCGCTGACGCGCAGCTTCGTGGAGTACGTGGTGTATGCTGAGGACCAGCTGGTGTCCCAGCTGCGCCAGTTCTACACCTACACGCTCCTGCCGGCCGAGGTGGGTGCTGCCTGTGGGGCACGGGCTGGACTTTCTTCCCACTGTGCTTAGCAGTTCTGTCCCACTTCATCCCTGCCCTGGGTAGCTGCGAAGGGCAGTGCTGGCTCTGATCAGCTTTGTGCCTCCCCTTTGTCCAGACCTCGTTGTGAAAGAGAGGAGAGGGGGGCAGACAGGGGAAGGGTTATGTTTATATCCAGCCCTGCTTTAGCTCCAGATGCCCCTTTGGGCCAGATAAGGACTGGTGTGGCTGCACAGCCTCATCCCTTACATGCTGCTGGGAACAGGGGTAGGTTTCTCTTCAGGAGCTGTCGAGGTCTGTCGTGTTCTGTAGGTGAGGGGTAGGGGGTCTCCGTTAACCCCCAGTCCTCCATCCCCACTGGGTGTCCTGTCCCTTCTCTGCCACAAACAGTCATTCTTCCACACGGTCCTGGAGAACAGTCATGCCTGTGAGACACTGGTCGATAACAACCTCCGAGTGACCAACTGGAACCGGAAGCTTGGCTGCAAGTGCCAATATAAACACATAGTCGACTGGTGCGGGTGCTCCCCAAATGACTTCAAACCCCAGGACTTCCTCCGGCTACAGGTGAAAAGATCCTCCTTTTTCCTCCCACTCTCTCCCCTCCTGCTTGCCTCGCTCCTCTCCTCGGTCCCCTGCGGGCACCCCTGGGTGTGGTGCCAGCTGCTGTGCATGTCCCCACAAGCCTCCCCCCAGCCCTGCAGGGACAGGAGCAGGATGGGCTCCCCAGCCACCCCGGGGCTCGGCACAGACATGTGCCCAGGGTCACACTGACCATCCTGCCCTGCACACAGGACAAGCCTGCGTTACTGCTTGTGATGCTGCTCCTCTTCCCAGACTTTCTCTCCCATTTTCCTGGTCTTTCCCCACAGACCTGTCACGTGAGACAAATGCCTCCTCAGCTAAACCACTTCTGAGCGCTGCCCTCTTTGGCAGAGCGGAATGCCCTGTGACAGACCACCTCCCACCCTCTCAGTGCATTAGGGGTGTAGACTGAACAAGGGAGGTTTTGGGAGAGAGACCCAGCCCTGAGAAGAGAAGTTAGCAGGATTTTCAAGCAGATTGGGGCTCCTACAGCACAGGGCTCTGATCCTGTGAGCTCTGCCATATGGCCAGGGCCTCGCAGCAGCTTGGCAGGGTGGGGGCCCACCCGAGTAGAGATTGCAGTGAAGGAGCTGGGTGACACATGGCTGCTTCTGAGTACAGAAAGGGGGAGGCAGTGGGAGACATGAGAGCCCATCTGCATTACCAGTTAGTGTACTGTGTGCTCCCGCTGATCCTGCTGTAGAAGATCTCACGTAGAGACTGGCTGTGCTTTGCTGCTCCTTAGCCCATGCCCTCAAGGCAGGCAGGATGAGTCCCAGCATGTTTCTTCCTGGTCTGTCTCCCTCGTGAGTGCCCCACTTAGGTGGGAGGGCAGAGCGGGTGCAGCCAACAACATTAGACATCCCTGTGCTCCTCCAGCAACTCTCCAGACCCACCTTCTTCGCCCGCAAGTTTGAGTCGACGGTGAACCAGGAGGTGCTGGAGATCCTGGACACGCACCTCTACGGCAGCTACCCGCCCAACACGCCGGCCCTGAAGGCCTACTGGGAGAACGTCTACGACCGCGTCGACGGCCTCGGTGGCCTCAGCGATGTCACCCTCACCTTCTACACAGCCTTCTCCAGGCTGGGGCTCCGCAAAGCCGCGGCCGCGCCGGGAGCGAAGCCCGACAAGCTCTGCAGGTGGGGTGCTTGCCAGGGTCTTGAGCCAGGCTCCCGCCAGCGGCCTGTGTCTGGTGCTGGTCAGGTGCCGATGCTCAGCCGTGCAACCTCTCTGCTTTCTCTCTCTCTCCAGATTTGAGCCCCGGGGCTTCCCATCCAGTGTGCACTTATATTTCTATGACGACCGTTTCCAGGGTTACCTGGTGATGCAGGAAGTGCAGAATTTGGCAACCGGGCAGGCAGAGTCCCTGGAGGTGTGGATGATGCCCCAAGGAGCTCTGAAGCTGGCGGGTCATGGAGGGCAGGCAAACCGCTTACAAAACCTTGAGGTAAGTGGCGAAAGTTTCCCTCCCAACACCAGCTTTCCTCCCTGGCTTTCCCACCCCACGCTGCCCTTCTTCCCCTTCCTGACCTGCACACTGCAGGGACAGAGGAGCATGGTGCTGCTGTTGTGCCTGAGAACAAGCCTTTGTCCAGGAGTTTGGCTTCTGTGGGAGCTGTGGAGCAAAAGCCTGAGGGGATCTTTTGGGGGGGAGCTGAGGCTGCTGTGCCCAGCACCTGCAGCTGCAGGAGGTGTCACAGAGCTGGATTAGTGCTGGCATGGTGCAGAGGGGAGAGGCATGGAGGATGGGGTGTGCATTGCTTTATGCTCCAGAGTTTTATATCTGCCCTTATTTGGGGAGGTGAAATGCAAAACCTGAGCTAACAGCACCTCCATGCCCAGCATCCCACTGCTTGTGCCTCCTGTCCCTCCAGGTGGGCACAGAGTGGGACCCCAAGGAAAGACTCTTCCGCAATTTTGGAGGCTTGATGGGGCCTTTCGACGAGCCAGTGGCTATGCAGAAGTGGTCACGGGGCCCCAACCTGACGGCCACGGTGGTGTGGATCGACCCCACCTATGTCATCGCCACCTCCTACGACATCACGGTGGATGCTGAGGCAGAGTTCACCCAGTACAAGCCCCCCCTGAACCGGCCCATGCGCCCTGGCGTCTGGACCATCCGCCTCCTCCAGTTCTGGGAGCCCCTCGGGGAGACCCAATTCCTGGTGGTGCCCCAGACCTTCAACCGCAAGCAGCCGCTCAGGAAAGGTGAGGGTGCTCTGGAGCTTGGGGCGGGCTGGAGGGTCTCCCTGTGGGCAGCCCGAGGCGACTCCTGCTGGGGCTGGCTCGGTGACAAGGCAGTAGCCACCTTCCCCTTGGTGTCCCCTTGCCCACATGAGCCCTTGAACCATGGGCAAGCTGCAGAGGGCCCATTTGCAGGTTGGTCAGGTCACCCTGGAGCAGCACACTTCTCAGGCTGGAGAGCTGGGGCTGCAAAGGGACGCGGGGTGCCGGGAAGGTGTCGGGACGCGGCTGCGCCGCTGATCCCCTCTCTCTCCTCTCCTTCCTGCCCAGACGACAGCAACTGGCTTCACGGCGGCCCCCCCCGCAACGAGTACATGGAGCAGAGCTTCCAGGGTCTGGGGGGGATCCTCAACCTGCCGCGCTCCGAGGAGGCGGAGGAGGAGGCCGTGCGGAAGGCGCAGCTGACGGGCAGGGAGCTGGAGGACTGGGCGGACGGAGCCATCGGCGACTTCTGGTCCGCGGCAGATGTCTGCGGGGTTGGCCCGGCCCCCTGCGCCTCCCCGCCGCAC